GCTTAACTGTATGTGTCCAGTGCGAGCACTGGACGCATACGTCCAGAGAGCTGCGGTGGATAGTAGATGCCATTTCTATTGCCTATGAGTCCTCTGATCTCCCTTCGCCTTTTGGGGTCAAGGCTCACTCTACCAGAAGTGTGGCGGCCTCTAAGGCCTTCTTGGCAGGTGTCTCGACGCAGGACATCTGCGACGCTGCGGGATGGTCCACGCCCCTAACCTTCGTCAGGTTCTATGGCCTAGACATGCGAGCCACTCCTGGCTCCTCTGTTCTCGCGCCTTAGCTGTGCACGCTTCCACACTAGGCGAGATTTGAAAGTCTGGCGGCGTGGGCATTCTCGTTCCCGAAGCGTCCTCCGACGCAGCTCGAGTTCCTGAAGAGGAACGTCTCAGGTTACGTAAGTAACCATGGTTCCTCGAGGGAACGAGACGCTGCGTCTCGGGGGAATACTTTCGGCATCTCTGCCAGCGCTTGCTTCGCTCCTAGAAGCTGACGCTGGTCTCACCGCACGTGCTTTTATAGCTTCCTGGTCATTACGTCACCCGCCCGTGACGTCTCGCCCATCTATTGGTCTGATTACACGCGAGGTTCAGAGCCGGTCACGCTGAAGGGCGTTCCCGAAGCGTCCTCCGACGCAGCGTCTCGTTCCCTCGAGGAACCATGGTTACATACGTAACCTGAGACGATTTCCTTAATTTCCATTGCTCACCTCAAATGACTTCAGGCCATCTTCATCCTGGTCTTCCTCACTTTGGCAACTCTGCAATGCAGAATTACAGTTTAGCTTGAACGCTGCATGTGTTTTGTGGCGAAAAGGAAAGATTTTGCTCAGAATGTCCTAGCAGAGCTTCTTACCTTGGCCATGATGTCAGCATAGCACATGTACTGGTCATCATCCTCAAGCTTACTGTAGATACAAGTGACAAGAGTGAACCAGGAGGGTTAAGATGTGTTTCACAACTTTATCATTTTCAGGCATGGTTCCAATGGAAAGACCAACATTTAAGGCAGCGTTAAAGATTTTACATATCACATATAAAAAGGCAATTGAATATACATACTTTTTAGTAAATACATTGATAGAAAACAGTTCTAAATTAAAATGCACAGTTTCAACCAATATTTGCGTGTGATACATAATATTTTTCCTGATTTGTTAGCTTAATGACATGTTAATTGCAATCAACAGTGCTTGCCAAATATTTCGTGGGTCTTATATGAAACAAGTCAGTTAGGTTGCTTCCATTGTAGACATCTTCCTAGGTTTTCAAACAGAGCTGAAATACTTGCTAAAATTATGTTTAAAATGGTTAGCCTTGATCTACATGCAAACGCAAAACAAATGCATGAATCAATCACACTCAAACACACAAACCTCCTCTCAGTCAAGGCACTTTGACTGAAGAGATTGATAAGCTGACGGAGTGGATCGATGTTGTTTCTCTGCTCCGCTCCCTCCTTCAGGATCTCTACATGAGTTGCTTTCTGATGGGTATAAAAGTATTCCTATTACTATAAAATCAAAAAAAAGCTCATATATAGCCTTGGGTTCTATCTGGAATTTTCTATGCATTCATACAATTTGTGGTTCACATTAGTAAAAGAGACTGTCCCATTTTGTTCTACAACATATATTAAACAGTTACGCTACTGTTCAAACGTTTGGGATCGGTAAGGTTTTTTAAGTCTCTTTAGCTCACCAGTGCTGCATTTATTTGATCAAACATACAGTAAAAAAAAAAAAACAGTAATTTTGTGAAATATTATTACAATTTGATATAACTTTTTATTTTAACTGTTTTATTTTAATATATTTTCAAATGTAATATATTCCTGTGATGGCAAAGCTGAATTTTCAGCAGCCATTATAATATAGTTTCCAGTGTAACACGATCCTTCAGAAGTCATTTTAATATGCTGATTTGAGGCTTAAGAAACAGATTATTATTATCAATGTTGAAAACAATTGTGCTGCTTAAAAAAAATTTTTGTAGATCTGTCAAGTACATAAACTTACATCATTGTGGTAATATTAATGGCACTCATAAATTGAAAACTGCTATTCAAAAAACCCATTACAAAAACTCCCAAGGGAACCTGCGGTGAATTAGTCTTCCAGGGGTGCGTTTCCCAAAAGCATCGTTAGCTAACTATGGTGGTAAGTTCCAATTAACTCTATTGGTAATGACAGAACTTAGTTGCTTTTGGGAAACGTACCCCAGGTTGGGCTACACATACGTCATGTTTAAACAGCTCAACTGGGGAACACAGCCAATCAGAAACACACTCACAGCCAAATCCTCAATTAGTCTGTCCTCAGGTGAGTCACGCTCTGCCTTCAGCCAGACTCTCTCATAACCCTGCAGGAAAAGGTTCACCGCTCTGTGCCTACAGAAAAAGACAAAGTTCATGTTAAAAGCTAGTAATTAATATTGGTTTCAGCCCAATGAAACATAAGGAATATGACAGAATGTCCTCTGTATCTGAGTTAGTTCAACAACATTGCAATTCACAAGTATTTCTGTTGCCTTCAGCTTTTATAACTTGGGTAATTCATAATGCAATATGAAGAGTAAATGGACTTGTCATAACTTTCTTTGCAGCAAACCTGGGGAGATTGTACAAAGGAACCATTCTCAAACAAGCAACTACAGCCCGTTTCCTCTGCTTAGACAACATCCTATGCCACACTGCCCTCTTCGTCTTCTGAGGGCGCTCCACCTGACAGAAACACATCTTTATGTAAACCATTTACTAGAAAAGAACCATACAAACACCAGAACTGGTCAAAAATCTCCACTGAACTACACTGGTTCATGTTTGAATGTATTTACATACAATATGTGCCATCACTTATCATTTGCAATCATTTGTAGTAATTCATTCCCAGTCTAACCTGATCCAGATGGAAAAGAACACGAGCGATGCTTAAGATCCTCTCAACACTGAGGGGATCTATTGAGTATTCACACAGATCCTGGCAAAAAGAAAAAAGAAAAGCCAGGTGAGGAGGCTCAAATAGAATTTTCACAGGACTTTATCGGTTCTTTCACAAGTTGTCTTCTGGCTCACCTGTTGCAGGTTGCTGCGAATGTACGCTCTGACCTCATCCTCTGTGTCCCTCTATAAGCAGATGAATGTTTCAGGTGTCAGGAAAAAGAATTACAATATTTTCAAGATGAGGAAAGGATTGATTTTGCAAACATTGTCATTACAGATGTACCTGAGAGAAACGGCTTTTGGCATGAGTGACCAGGCCCTGATAGCCATGGCAACATCCATTCATGGCAACCGAGAGGAGTTTTTTTGGTGCTGCCAAAATGAGAGAGGTGTGTGTGGAGTAACAATCACCCTTCCTCTTCACCTTTCTCCTCTCCTGGTTGCACACCCCTCCCTAATGGAAAATCATACAATTTAGATTCATTCAATATTATTGAACAGCATATTTGGGTTGAGTAATGACTTGGGCGTTTATTAAAGTCCCTGCAGGACTCTAAGATTACAGGCCAAAGATGAATTTCTTTTCAAAGAAGAGTGTAAAAAATTAGGACAAAGCAAACTTGGACAGGATTGAGAGGAACTAGAAAGCAAAATGTATTACATGTTCATTTAGAGAGTTAATGAAGGGAAAAACTGAATGTGTTCAAAACAAGTAATACAGTATTAGTGAAATGAAGAGACCTTATACATCCTGCTTTTGCTGCTGTTCACCAGGAATGTCATGTTGTTGATTTCATTTTGAACAACAAAGTTCTGTTCTTCCCATTTGAAATTCTAAACAAAAACAAGTGTGTAAAAGACAAAATGTTTAAAAATGTTTAATGAATGTACAAAGGGTACAAATCAATAAATGTAAAAAATTTTACCCGAAAAATAAACATTTACCATAAAAATAATAAAGTACATTTTTAGAGATAGATGATACAAAGGGGAAATTCACAATTTGTGTGTTTTATCATTTGATTTTTTCCCTGACATCATTTTATAACATTAGTCAGACAAAAAATTATAATATCATTCTTTCTTATTACTTTATTTGAATTTAGTGTTCGAACAGGCATCTGTGCGCTGGATTTCTAATGGCAGAAAAGGGTTTTTGGAGCCCTGCACATGGCAAGAAAAAAAAGATATTGTGACCACAAATATATTCAAACTATTTATTAATTCATGGCCAACTTCGATAAATGTTTCCCTCGTTTTAGTTAAATCACAGCCATGTTGTACTAATTTGTTTAATTTGTTTCAATTTAGTTCATTTGTGGCCACAGTTAAACAAAAACAAGGGAACAAATGACTACAATGTGGCCACAACTGCACTAAATGAAGACAATTACCGGTAATTACTAAAACGTGGCTATCATTTAATAAATCGTAATTCCTAATCCGTGTATATATTTATATTTAATATATATTAAATACAATATATTTTTTTTCTTTCATGTGTCATGTGTGGGGCTCCGTCCATTTTAGCTTCAAAAGATGCTAATTTTTCAGGACATTTTCAGATTTTTTTTTACTTATATAAATGAAAATTAAATTTTGCATTATATGACCCCTTTAAAAGGAGTAGAGTAAATATTAGATATTAAATCTTCATAAATATGACTGGGAGTTGCTCACATGAGATTTAGCCCAAAAAATGAAGACTTCAGCTACGAGGGAGAAAAGCTTCTCAGCATCTGCCTCCACCTCTCTCAGCCAACTCATTCTAATGATACCAAACACAAATAGATTAACCAATAATGAATTTTAAACTGAAAACAGGTTGAATACTGCACAGTTTCTCACCTGTGAAGGTCTATAAATGGAATGAGTAAAGGGTAAAACGAGTAGATATCTTGGACCAACACAGTAAACCTTTCCTGGATGTCTAACTCCTGCTCTGAGACATCGCCACGCCCCGCTGTCTTCAAATGCTCCTCCTCCAGGAGAACTGACTCTGCCCTCTTCCTCAACTTTTCCATCAAAGGCAGGAAGTGGCTCTTCAGGAGGTGTGGCTCTGCCTTGCTGATGAGAGGCTGGCCAAATACTAAAAGATATGCTCTGCTTTTTATGGCATTCGTGGTTATATTTGTACCTTCCACTGTAAATTGGAATTCATTACAATCACAAAATTTGTACTGCACTTCTGTTGGTTTTCTAAAATAAGTGCTTCAACAACACATTAAAATCCCCTTAATCTAATAATTCACTTCTCTAGAGGGACCAGTTTACCTGCGAGGCGTTTCATCCAAGCACTGTCTGCGGTCCCCAGATGGGCGTGGATGATGGAGAGGATGTGACCCAGTAGGGCATTAGCATGCTGGGGTGTGACACAAGAAAAGTGGCCCTCCTGGGATGCTTGGTTATCAGCTTCCCCCCAGCGAGAGACATAACTACACAGCAGAGGAAGCGTCACCTCAGTAACCTTTGTCAAAAGGGCATGACGGGCCACTGGTCCTGCCTCTGCGAGCTCTTCAACCTCTGAGAAAGCCTCCTGCAAAGTGGGGAGGAGCCTACAGGCTCTGCCAGCTAGAAAGACCACACCAAAATCCATGAGGAAAAATAGCATGAGGCAACGTGAGTGTGTTCACGTTTTTGTGTTTTATTGAACTTTTCTTGCCTTTACCTTCACTCTCTTCATTACTCATAGTGTCGAAGAGGGAATGAAGGTCAGTCAGCTCCAAGAAACACACAGGAAAGGCTACAGATAAAGCAGCCAGACACTCCCCCAAGACCGACCTCTGCCTATCAAAACAAAGATAAAGGCTGATCGGCAGATGAACTATAAACCTAGACATGAGCTAATAACTATGGAGCATACAAGTCTCATAAGGACAAACTGAACAATAAGTAATAACAAAAATATATAATCAGAATAAAATAATAAGAGCCAAACACCCTAATTAACACAATTTGCTAAGAACAACACATTTGTTAAAGGGTTGGTTCACCCTAAAATAAATGTCCTTGTCATCATGTCTGCCCAAACCATGCTTTTGTCTGTGCCTAGAACACAATAGGTTTTTAGTAGATTATTTACACAGTTTTTTTGAATATAGTTCAAAGTGCCCATGTCAGAAAATCTTCAAAAAGGACAAAAAATACCACTAACGTACCATAAATTGGTCCATACAACTCTTGTATTATATTTCATGTTTTGTGAAGTCATACAATATTTTTGTGTTAGATGCAGCCTCAAATTTTTGTTCCCTTTCAATTTTGACACAATATCTTGTTACTATATACTGTACATAACCTGATAAGATGATTTCACAGAAACATTTTCCTCTTCTGAAAAAAAAAACTAAAATATCAAGTACCACAACTGTTTTCAAGATTGATAATAGGAAATGATTCTCAAGCACCAAATCATCATTTTAGGATGATTTCTGAAGGATCACGTGACACTGAAGACTGGAGTAATGATGCTGAAAATTCAGCTTTGCCATTGCAGGAATAAATTACATGTTAAAATTAATTATATATCAAATACCCAATGTGTCTAAATAGAAAATTCTAAATTGTAAATTGTTTAAATTTAAATTTATATTTTAAATTGTAATTTTAGTTCTCAATTTTACTGTTTTCTGTATTTTAATTAAATAATTCCTGGCATGGTAATCATAAAAGAATTCTTGAAAAACATTTTGATCAGTAGAGTCAATTCCAGTCTGTTCCATCTTATGACCTTAGAAGACTTGCAATATAGTGCAAGAGTAGTATAGACCCTTTAAAGGTGCATTTATGATGATTTTTTTGGAATTGACAGGCATGGAATAAGACAAAAAAAGCTCCATTCCTTGTGTTCCCAACAACAAAAATAAAAGCATGTGTTTGAAACAACATGATAGCAAATACTGACAGGATTTTCATTTTTGAGTAAAATAATCCTTGTGATAGAGTGTTACCTCTCAATGAATGTACCACTGCAGGTGCCAAGAATGTATAGACAGCTGAGGATCCTGTAGCAACAGGAGTGCACTTCATCCACTGAAAGAAAAAAAATTAATCATATATTTAAAAAAAATATATATATATATATATTTTCTTCTAGCGTTTTTGCAAGAACTCTTGCATCTTTGATGTTCAGAGCAAATAAAAAACTGATTCTACTACAATTCATCCCAACTGCGTGTGAGATTTATTCATAATACAGTTGAATTGCAAAAGAGGAGTAAAAGGGGTGAAATTTGTAAATGAAATGGTAATGAGTTCATACAGAGCAAAAATGTACAGTATGAATGATTCAACACATGATGCTGCGGTTCTACAAAAGTGCTCTTATCGCAGAGAAGCCTGCTGCAGTCCTGCAGTGTGGATCAAACAGTGTTTTCTCTTGCCAGTACACTTGTGAAGATGATTGTTTGTAGAAGTAATATAAGGTCATGATCAAGAGGAAAATTCTCTGGTCACAGAGAATGTGAACGAATACCAAATGCCGTTGGACGAAACAATGAATGTTTTCTCACAATCAACTCCTTTGGATCTGGTGCAAAACAGTATAAAACATTACTGAATGCACATTTGAGTTGAACCTAAAGAGATTTGTCATTGCATAGAGGCCTTTTTGAGAATAGTCCATTCAGAAGAGAGTTTAAAGTGTTTTGCAATTCTTTATGCCTTAACTGCACATTGCCTACTAAAATATAAACCCAGGCACACATGCCCATGATCAAACATAAGAGGGGTCAAACACAGGGCTGAATCCTGTGCAGACAGGAAATCAAGTGCCGCTCTAATTGGCAAAACAGAGGTAACTGGAAAGGGAAGTGATCTGCTCAACCCAAAACCTTTGTGAATATTTTTCCACTGCCTTTCCACAACCTCCATTTATTTTCCCTCCATCTGTTCATTCATCATAGGACACACTAATCTATTCATTATTCACCCAATTAGCTGCTGCTGTTTCTTCCATCCATTCCGCCCGCTTTCGTTCTCTCTTACCGATCAGTCCCCCTCCATGCTGCCTCTGGGCGTCGTGCAGGAATAGAGCGTTGAGCACTGGGATCAGGGCGGTGGTGTACGTTATGACCTCACTGTCTCCCCTGCCTTGGGCTCGGTTCAGGCCATACTCATCCCAGGTCACATTATCTACTGTTAGCTCGAGGTCTTCTGCCGCGCCTTCAAAGAACGACCACAGCGACAGCCTGACGGATTCGTTAGTGGTTTTCATTAACATCCTAGACAATTACAGAAAAATTAGAATGACCTTAGAAAAAGGCTTTTACACTCACATGGTTGCATTTATTTTAATTTTCAGCAGCCATTACTCAACTCTTCAGAGTCACATGATCCTTCAGAAATCATTCTAATATGCTGATTTGGTTCTTAAGAAACATTTATTATCATCAATGTTGAAAACATCTTAATTTGGAAAACATGATACTTTTTTTTCAGAATTATTTGCTATATTCTTTGCTTTGGAATAGTTGAAATGTATTTGTATATATTTTAGTATTTTGTTAAATACAAAGTATAAAATATGCATTTTTGCCTGTTTTTATCAATTGATTATTTTTTACTTTTTAATTCAGATTTTTAAATCTTTTATTCCATGTTTAAACACTACACAATTTACTGTTTATTTGATGTATTAACTTCACAAATCAGTTACTGATTTCTCAAATGTGACCCTGGACCACAAAACCAGTCTTAAGTCGCTGGGGTATATTTGTAGCAAAAGCCAATACATTGTCTGGGTCAAAATTATAATTTTTTCTTTTATGCTAAAAATCACTAGGATATTAAGTAAAGATCATTTTCCATGAAGATATTTTGTAATATTCCTACTGTAAATATACCAAAACTGAATTTTTGATTAGTAATATGCATTGCTAAGGACTTCATTTGGACAACTTTAAAGGTGATTTTCTCAATATTTAGATGTTTTTGCACCCTCAGATTCCAGATTTTCAAATAGTTGTATCTCGGCCAAATATTGTCCTATCCTAACAAACCATACAGCAAAGGAAAGCTTATTCAGCTTTCAGATGATGTATAAATCTCAATTTCAAAAAATTGACCCTTATGACTGGTTTTGTGGTCCAGAGTCACAAATTATCAGTAGACAAAAAGGTCCCTCACAGTGAAGGACCTACAAATAATTTCACAATTTCTTCTATATCACTGCACTGAACATGCAGTGTAGCATTAACTACCTTCCATCCAGGGACTGTGCCAGGATTTGTAGGCAGCTCACCAAAGCAAGGGCATCATTTCCTAAAAGGAAACATGGCATTGAGCTCAATGTAATCCAGCCAGTAAATTTATGTTTTCAAGGGAGGGTGGGTTAATAAAATTAATGAGGTATGTAAGCATTCCCCTCAGCACTACAAGACTGGGGTGAGTGAACAATGGCTGTGGATAATGCTGAGAGTGCATGAGATGAATACCAAGTGCCTCTAAATTAAAAGTGTTTCTAGATAAATAATCAAGCAGATTTTTATTGCAAACAAAAAAGAAAGACACAAAAGAGTATGAAGAAAAAGACACCAACCCTTACCAAACAGAGAGATTCTGCGTCTGGCTAGAGCTCCGAGCTTACAGAATAAACTTGAAAATAACAGGAGAGAGGATGAATGTAAGAGAAATGAGAGAAATTAATGGGAAAAAAACAAGACAGATGGAACTGAAAATATATAATGACAGTAGCAAAGGTGAACATAGAGACACAGACATGCAATCAGCCATATGTGTGTACGCACACACACACACACACACACACACACACACACACACACATTTCTCCATCTTTGTGTAGTTTTTTTTACAGAGTGAATTATATTTTCTGTCTCCTAAACATTTTTGCATTTTCAGATATTTATTACAGGTTTATTACATGTTTTCAAGTAACAAATTAATTCTTTCAAAAAGAGTAAAAACTCAATACTTCAAATTAATTTGCTGTGTATCCAAAAAGGATCACATGCTGATATGCTAGCAATCTTCTTTTTAATACAAAGTGCAAAAAATAAAGTGCTCAATAAAGTGATAAATAAAGTGATGTGCTTCTTGGACACCAAATGGCTTGGATGCACAATCATGCAAGTTTTTATTTACTGTTGCATAAATGCTCTGTCACCCATGATTTATTCCATGAGCTAAAGCTTTCAAATAATGGGTGTTAAACTGAGTAGTATTTATCTGGTCATGTGGTCTTAACACCCATAAGGGGACCCACTCAATGTAAAATAACACAGCTTTTATAAAGTTACTGAGGACCGCTGACTTATGTAAGAAAAACCCGACTCACATAATCACATGCAAATGTAATAGCAGTCTGTCATCACAAATTACCTTGTGGCCATCTCTTTTTCTTTATTGGTGGACTGGCAGCCATCTCTAAGTGAACACGTAGTGGAGAGGAAGTAGGGATAGTGATTTTTGAAGTATTGATCTAATAGTGGCAATACAACCTGGGACAGAAAGAAAAAGAGGCTTGAATAAAACAACAGTCACCAACTGAAGAAATGTTCATTTTGAACATTTCATTTTGAAGTGAACATTTTTAGTGCACAATAACGAGATTGATAGTTGAGGAGGTCAGGGAACTGCTGACCGTTGTTATTGATCTTCATGTGGGAATGAAAGACTTTTAAACAGCAAAGCAGCAAATTGTCTCAGAACAGGGATGGATAGCAAAACATGACGTCTAATCGATTATGGGATCAGCAATGACATGACCCACAGAGATGTCCGTTTGGACAAACAATACAAAGCTGTAATTATCTGCAACTACAAAAATTTACCATGACCACTGTGGTTCAATTACAAAAACATGTAAATGTTTATCCCAAAGCTTTGAACAAGCTGAGATGTTCTCTTGGTTACCACTTAAGATACAATAAACAATCCCAATACACAAAATCTGCAGTGTCTTAAAAAGTATCCAAAAATCCATTTCATTTGGATAATTCTTTGGAGATCAAATCAGGCAGTTATTTAAATAGGTCTGTCATCCTGACTCAGTTAGCTGCTATGCTGTGATGAATTCTTATAGATTTCAGTGTTGTCTGACCTGCAGTAAAGATAACTGACCTTAATAAAGAAATGAATTTGTTGTTCATGGGGAACTTTCTCAGCCCTGTTAATCTGCCCTCGAGCCTGAGCAACCTCTGCAAAACACAAAACAAAATGCATTTATCATACAAGTTGATTAACAGATTTCATTGCAAGGTTTTCACATGCATCAGACAAATGAGACGACAGTTGAAATGAACTGATATTATGATCCTTTTAAGGAATAGTTTGCCCAAAAAATGTTGTATTCACAAAAAATCTTAAAATCTTAGCTCTCAAATCTCATTTACACCAGTTATTTTAGTAGTTTCATATACTATTATACTATCAATTGATATTTTAATTCGTTTTTATTTTCAACTTTCATTTTAACTTTATTAATTATAAGTAGTTTAATTTTCAATATTTAGGCTTTTGTCATTTTTCCTATTTTTTATATTTCTATTTAGCTTTAAATTTATTTTAGTTTTAGTTTTAATAATTTTAGTACTTCAACTTGGCAAAAACTATTTTTAATAGTTGTAGTTAAAAATGACTGATTCACATGTCTACATATTGAACATAACGTTCATATTTGAATATCAACATTGGCTCTATGAATGCTTTTAAAGCAGATTTAATATGAGAGCTAGTAATTTGATATTTATTATATGGCTTCAAGACTACTGTGATTTTTTTTATTTTTTTTGAGCTTGACAGCATCTGTCTACATACCATTTGATTATATAAAAATGAGCTATGGTAACTTTTTTGAGCTAACTTTTTTGCATTAGGATTTGGAAAGGCATGAGGACGATTGATAACAGAATTTTAACTTTTGTGTAAACTTTTTTTTTTAACACCCCTTTCAGATTAGTAAGGCCTTGAAATTACAGGGCAGTTATATAAAAAGACAGATGTGCAAACAAATAATTGGAGAGAAGTGGAGTGGAAGAACAGGGGAATGTGTGTGTGTCTAACCCAGCTCTAGTAACTGCTCCTGGGCTTGCTCAGTGAGACAGAGGGCTTGCTGTAACAGGCCGTAAGCGAAGCGGCTCACAATCGCTGGGGAATCAGCATCTGCCACCTTTCTGTTCCTGTGCAGTGAAAATCCAGTCAGTGAAAATGAAATGGACACTTCAAAGGCATGATGCTCACTCTAGTATCCAGTAGCAGGAAAGCATCCTCACCTCCTCACTGAGTACCCATTGATGTGGAAGAACTTGAGAACATCTTGAGCTTTGTCTCTGACTCGACTCTTGTCTTTAACGCTCAGAGCATTGTACGGTACAAGCAGAGGGTGACTGCCCCCTCCTGGACAAAAACAGCATCAGTATTAACAGCTCAAAAGATTCTGGTCCAATTTGGCTTTAAGGCAATTCCCATTGTTAAAGGAGTTATATATAAGCAATGCATTATAATTAATTAAACTGGTGACAGTTATTAAATTAATTCCTGCACTTAGTTTGTTGCCTTAGTAGTTAGTGCATATTACAAAGCTCTCTGCAATAGTTTTAAATTAAATTTCTTTGATATTTTGTAATAAGCAGGATAGTGTACAGCAGGTTATTATAGCACTAGAGAAAAACACTTCAGGGTGCCACTGATGATTATTTTGCAGCATTATTAGTTTATAACAAATATTGAAAAATATGAGTGCAAATAGCAATATCAAAGGTTAAGAATAGCTTACAGTAAATATATTTCATTGCCTATACCACTGTAGTACACTACACTACCCAAGAGTTTGTGGTCTGTATGATTTCTTAGTGTGAAGTTGTGTATGCTTTTGTTGCATTTATTTCATCAAAATATAGTAAAAGCAATAATTTTGTGAAATATTGTTACAACATAAAATAATTGTTTTTCTATTTTAATACAATTTTAAAAGTAATTTATTCCTGTAATGGCAAAGCTGAATTTTCAGCAGTCATTATTCCAGTCTCACTTGATCCTTCAAATAGAATCACTTGATCCTTCAAAAATCATTGCTGATTTGCAGCTCAATAAATCTTTCTTATTATTGTCAGTGTTGAAAGCATTTGTGGTACATTTGTTAATTATTTGAGGAATAGAAAGATTTACAGAACAGCATTTATTTGAAATAGAAATCGTTTGTAACATTATAAATGTCTTTACTATCGATTCAATTTAATTTATATTTATTTCTTTTTTTTTATTCTTATTCCAAATTTCTGAATGGTAGTGTATATATACACACGAGTACAATGTACATCCACACCTCTTCCACACACACCTTACACCCAGTATTCCTATTTCACAGTGTTTTGTTTCACTGTAATACGCAGGTGGCTGCAGGATCCCTAATTTAATTCACTGTATCATTTCTCACAGCGGCCCATCTGTAAGACACACCTTTACTCTCCAGTTCCTGCAGTTTCCTGGCTGCCCAGATGTGATGATAATTCTCAGCCAACCGCTCTGCCATGGCCTTCAATACCAGATTGAAAGTGCAGTTATTTTTAATCCTGTTAATGTACAAAGCTGGCTGGTGGTATATAGACAGTATATGAGGCAATTTCTAAAATGACTTCTAAAATACGTTCTGTTATTTGGCCAACTTGAATTTGAAAGTTTTCAAAAAGCTATTCTATAAAAGTTACTCAAATAAAAGCAGTAATCAATGGTTAATGGTGTAATCTCCTCTTTGGTCCCTGTTGGACTGGTTTATATTATATGGAATTAATTGAAGCTGCTTACATACTGATCCCAGGTCAGAGTGACACTGCTGGTATCCACAGGCTTTGGACTGAATGTGGAAGCTCCTTCAAAAGACAGCTATTAAAAGACAAACACAATTTATGTTCTCCAAAGAAACACAATGCATTTATCTGGTTTGATATCAAGCATTTGTCAAACCGAAGTGCGGTCTGTTTTGAATGCATCCCATGTTCTCTTAATAAGAAATGTCTTTTAAAAGCATAAGAGCTGTTAATCCAGTCATGGCGAGCACAGAAAGGCTATTCTGAATCCCAATCGCTTTGTGCCATGTGCAATACAAAACAGCTGTCAGTACAATTTATGCAGAAAGAATTTGCCTTGATGCACAGTAGTCAAAGTGGAAAACAAAAACAACACATTATTGGTCTGCTGAAATGCTTATTAAATGCTTATTAATATTGTTCTTACAGTTCAAAAAAAGCTGAAGCAACATCACTAAATGTTGCTGAATCACTGAATCACTTCTACACATTTAGTCTGTGTTGAGATTTTCAGGGAGGATTTTGGAAGCATGTTTAAGCATTAATGGATATATTTAATCTTTTCTAATGCTCCAAGCATGGACCAGCACCATTTAAATGCACATGCTTCATCATGTCTTCTTCAAATTAAATGTATTTTTTGCAAATTACAGCAATGATACGGTCTCATTATGGGCGCCAGGGGCACCGTAAGGGGTGGGGGGGTGTTAGGATGATTCTAATGGCCCGACGAAGGAGGGGGGCTCTCCGAGCGAGAAACGCGATTTCTACCGAGGGGAACGTGATTACGATTTCTACCGAGAGGGACCCCCCGGAACACGATTTACCGAGGGGAACGCGGAACGTGATCTGTACGGAAGGAACACCCCCATCCCACCCCCCCGGAAAGCGGGGGCCCGAGTGAATATGCTGTCCAGGGGCCCAGTAACTCTAGCGGCGCCCCTGATGGATTTACTCAAAAAAAATAAAATTTGAAAATTAAGGAATAATGGACAGAAAAACACAGAGAAAGCACAATATCACACATTCTTCATCAGAGCTTTGCAGTTCTCCGTGAAGGTGTCCATTACCTTGCCAGACTGTGAAATCCTCCGAGCTGGGTTGTGAAAGCCTTGTGACTCCCCATCATTGGTCCTCTCAATAGTCCATCCCAAGACCAGCATGCACTTCACTGTCTCTTTAATGACCGCTCGATAACCTTCTTTATCCTAAAATACAGAGCAACCTCACTGTGTGACAGTGAACTGCATGATAAACTGCATGTTGCTTTTTTCTGATTTCTCTTAAAAATTCTGAATATCTGATGTTGTTATTTGTAATTTGAGAGTTTGCTACCTTCTCAGACAGAGCTCTGTAAGGTTTTAGGAGTGGATGAACTTTAGCACTCTCAGAAAACTGTTCTCCATAAACCCAACCGTTACCAAACTAGAAAATAATTATCAAACACAAATAGCTTTAAAACTACAGAATTCCCAAAGTTTCCACTTTTATATTCTCAAGCAAACACCTGTAATACGAAACTTCTTACCTTTTCCAGGGACCATTTCTCATGTGTATGTTCAGCGTATTTGTTCACCACAAACTCAAGCAACTCTGGGATTGTCACACTATAAATGCATGAAAAAACTGGATTATTATTTACTGCATATCGAATAAACAGTCATTCACACTACACTTTTCAGAAATGGATGAAGTGAACTTGTATATTCAATAAACAGCCATTCACACTTCACTTTTCAGAAGATGATGAAGTGAACGTTTGAGATTAGTGCTGGTCTCAGAGGTTCTCAGAAGATCTCAGTGCAAATTAGTCCATTACATCCAGCTCAAGCGGGTCTGTTTCAGCTGGTTTAGGATGTGTTATGGACCTTTAAGTCTATAGAAGTCTTACTTTGAGGTGTCCAGGGGTCGAGGACAAAACCGTCTCTCTGAATCCATCGTTGAGTGTCTCTCTTGTCCTCTTGTGCAGCTCGGGTCAAGGTGGTCAGGAGGAATCGCCCCGGCAACTGCACTGAGACAACCCAGGGCCAGTTTGAATAGGTCTGGATCATAAGACTGTGGACGAGATTGAAAAGCAAACATTTTGATTGTGCAATTCAAAATGAAATTCGAACAGTTTGAAGCATAAAAAAAACAGACACCCTATCCTAAAAAAATATCCAGTTTATTAAAAATAATTAAAGACTCTTTTGGAGAAATTAATTGTGTAGTCACTTGGTTTGAAATGCAGATTTTCTGTCTTTTCTCACTTTTTTGGCAAGAGCACTGAATATCCCCCAAAACAGCTTTCTGGTCAGACGAAGTTCTTCCTCTGAGGCAGAGCCAAAGCCACACCATCCATCATTCCGACAGTAGTACTTCCTGCTCTGCTCATAATGATTGGTCAACAGCTGGAAGAAGCAACCACAGTGATAAGCAGAATTGCTTTAGGAAAACATAATTTTATATTTTATAAATTGAATGTTTTTTCTTTAGACCTTGAGTGGCATCTTGGAGTTTTCTGATAGTTGAGGGACGTCAAACACAAGATTCTGCAGCAGAGACTGCAACATGGAGGGATTCAGTTTTCTGTGGGAACAAAATTGTTATAAATAAATGATAACGGGTTATAAATAAACAGACCTATACAATATGGATTTGTTTCTTAATATCTGATCTTAAAATATTCGTCAGTTCTAAAAGAGCAAGAACAGGCAGACAAAGATACAATGACTTCCACTCTAATGGTTTATTATTTGCAGAACTTTTTTAAAGCATTCACTATTGTAACTGTGCCATTCATGGCTTTTATTCTGTAATAAAATCAATCCAAAAAAAGCAAAATCGAACGTCCTCACCCGCACACTGCCAGCAGACAGTCCTGGATAGCATCTCTCTGGGCCTTGGTCAGTCCGCTGGCTTTAGAGAGGCTGTAGACACCCTGCAGGAGCTCATCCACCAGCCCAGTCCGCAGTGAAGAGGAGTCACACAGCAGAGAGGAATACTTACTCAGCAATGGCAGCACAGCCACACATATGTATCGATTAAGGGCCAGTGCCATATCTGTTCCACCTAACCCCATCTGCAAAGAGGGAAAACATATCTATATATACAAAGCTGATTTTTCAGCAACCATTACCATTCTTCAGTGTCACATGATCATTCAGAATTCATTCTAATATGCCAATTTGGTGCTCAAGAAACATTTATTATCATGTTGAAAACAGTTAATATGCTGCTTAATATTCTTGTGGAATCATGATTAATGGGGAAGCCGTGGCCTAATGGTTAGAGAGTAGGACTCGTAACCCAAAGGTTGCGGGTTCGAGTCTCATACCGGCAGGGATTGTAGGTGGGGGGAGTGAATGTACAGCGCTCTCTCCCACCTTCAATACCACGACTGAGGTGCCCTTGAGCAAGGCACCGAACCCCCAACTGCTCCCCGGGCGCCGCAGCAAAAAATGGCTGCCCACTGCTCCGGGTGTGTGTTCACTGCTGTGTGTGTGCACTTTGGATGGGATAAATGCAGAGCACTAATTCCTAGCATGGGTCACCATACTTGGCCACATGTCACTTCACCCTTTTTTTCACCCTTAATTTTTCAGGATTCATTGATGAATGGAAAGTTCAAAAGAACATCATTTATTTGAAAACAGAAATATTTTTTAACATTATAAATGCCTTTACTGTCAATTGTGGTCAATTTAAAGCATCCTTTCTGAATAAAAGTATTAATTTCTTCTTTCTAAAAAAAATGATTAACCCCAAACTTTTGGCAATGTGACTTCTGTGTTTTGGTAATCTCTTCAGTTTTGCAACTCCAGGAGCCATACATCAACGGTGTGGCCTGTTTTAGGGGTGGTTGAAATCATATTTTCTTTTTATGTTGCATTCAGACAGAGCTGATGAAACAGAGAACACTGTTGGAATATGTCAAATTAAAACTGCAAGCCTGTAAGACCCCCATAACCTTTATTTTGGCGTCCACTGCGGGATTCAAACCTTAATTAGGGGGCTCAGACTCCACAAACTCAAGATTTTCAGTAAATAAAAGACTTAAATTTCAGATTTATTCCTTGCACAAAACAATTGTTTGACTTTAAAAGACTTGGAATATAGTGCATGAGTTCAACTGCTTTGATGATGTTTTATTCCTCATTTGTAAGTCGCTTTGGATAAAAGTGTCTGCTAAATGCCTAAAAATTAAAAATTTTTATTAAATTATGACATTTTTGGAGATCAAGAACTCCATCCCCACTTATTTGCACACTATGGAAAAAGGCACCACAGAGATTCAGCTAAAATTCCTTTTGTGTTTCACAGAAGAAAAGGTCACATGGGTCAAAAAAGGTCATATCGGTTTGAAAAGACATAATGACAGTATTCAAATTTGGGTGAACTTTTCCTACATTCAACATCTTCCCACTTACAGCATCCATGTTAACAGCCGCTTGCAGGTCCAGCAGGAAACCATTCTCCAGTAGACGCAGCAAAAACTGCTGGTCCTGAACTCCATAAACCCGGTCCAAAAACAGCACCATGGCTGCTTTGTGATCCGGACAAAATATCCGAGACATGTCAGGCTCCACCACTAGATCATCTGAGTATAGCAACCACAAAATATTTTCAACCACCAATGAATCACTTTTAGACATAAAATACCCTACTACACATCTTTGCCAGCAGCTCCAAACTAAATTTACTTAGTTTATTTAAAAACTGAGCTCAGACTCTCTCTCATTACACTGATTTCAGTTTTTAATAATCAAATACATTTAGAAAGATAAATCAATAGTCAGGAAAAGAATTATTTTTATGTCATGAATGTATATTTTACGCAAGTTCACAAGTCAACAAATGCACACACTCATACGCACCTGTGTTTACAAGTGGTAAACTAAAAGGAATATTGATGATTCCCTCCAGATCCTCTCTGGGAACGAGAGACCTCAAGATTGCCCTGATCCGAATGGCCTCACCTTTCCCCGCTTCTATGAGCTGCAGGTCATATTCACACACAACAGAGACGCCCATTAGCAAACCTTGAAGAACCTTTCAAACCTTTAATGAAAACTGACTTTGCCTTAAAAAGTAGATAAAACCAATAAGCCTTTTCCAACTAAATCCTTCAAGCACATTACGAGGCTCTTATCTAGCTTGCCCAGTGGGTTTCCTGAAACACTTACATGCGTCTCAGGGGCGCAACGACCCAACAGATCAATGAGAGCAGAGTAGAAGGTCATTATGGCGTGTCCCATGTGAATGACATCATCATCTTCATCATCAAGCGTGTCACTAGAAGTACAGGTCAGAATGAGACATGGGCATGAGCGAGAATGGATAAGACAGGATAAAATTCGAAACGTAACACTCACAGTGTCCGGTTGGAACTGTGTGTACTGGCTGCACTGGTTCCATCCTGCAGGTGGGAAATTCTGATGGCTTCCTCAATAGTTGCTAAAAGACCATTTCCCCCCTCCCCGCGAAGGGCGGGGCCAAAGCATTCAGGTCGGCGAATCAGAAGCCTCACTACCACATAGGCGTTCTCCTCAACACTCTCACCTGTATGAGGAGAATAACTAATCAAAACCAACCAGAGGTGTTTAAATAGGTTTCACTAGGTTAGGATTCAGGAACTGCTCATTACCATTGCAAAATACTGCAAAACGCAGGAAGTCCAGGTAACGTTCTCCCTCTACAGGATTCCAACCAATATCTGGGTATCCTTTGGAGACCAGCAGAGCACAACTACGCAAACCACAGCCTCCCAAATACTGCACCACCTGTACAAATGAAAAACCAGTACAGACAGCTCAATATCACCAAAAGTCAGAAGTAATGTAGAAGAGAGATAAAAGAATCAGTCAGTGAGACTTACTTTCTCTAGATCTCCCTCTGTAAGAGCAAGAGCCAGTTCATTGTTGTCCATGACAGAAGCAGCCACCACATCCAGAGGAGTTGATCCTCTCATTGAGGGAGAAGCTGATAAAAAAAAATTCACATTTTCTTTTGTCTACTTCCTTAGAAATGTTCAGGTTGAGGTTTAACCATATCAGTATTAGGATAAACATACCAAGTCCAACATTACTGTTGTCCAGCAGGTAGCTGAGATGATCAAACATGGCCCTCTGATTATGCCGACTGATTCGACAGAAATAACAAAGGAAACGACAGCAGTGCGCAACCATCTTAGGAAACATGATTTCCTTAATGAGGCCAGAGGATAAGAGTTAACAGAGCACCTCATGGGAGTGAATAAATCAAAACACTGCACTTAATGCAATGATTAAGTTCTAATTTGAGTGGTTCAATTATGTAGTTGACATTTTACAACCATAATGAACGCAGAAGCTGATAATCACTGCAAGTACTTGATGTTATTATGATTACCTTAGATTCTCTAGCACCAAGGACATTCACCATAACTTCCATGACGGTCTCATGCATCCCCAGAGCTCTCATCAGATTAGGATGCTGATAGAAAACTTTATTGTTCATAATGTCACTACACAAGAGAAAACAAAGGTCTTAGATTAGGAATAAAACTGACTTGGACATAGTAGTCCATCAGAAATATTGGATAATTTAATAAGTGATAATTGTATTATGGAATGTGTCAAAATAAGTAATTTTATTGGCTGAGATGTTTTATTGGTACTATATTCAGTGCCTCTGTTCAGATTAGAAATGTCACTTTATGATGAATTTGTGCTTAATCATAAAAATAATAATAAAAATCATAAAAATAAAAAAATACAGTACCGTTCACAAGTTTGAGGTCAGTAAAAAAAATAGGTTTTTGAAAGAGGTCTCTACATTAAAAATAGTAATATTATAGAATAAAATTTAAAATAAAATTATAAAAATCAAATATATTAAAATTTTATTTCTGTGATTGCAAAGCTGAATTACTCCAGTCTTTATGTCACATGATCCTTCAGAAATCATTCGGTGCTCAACATTTTTTCAACTTTTGTGGAAACTGTGATGTTTTGTTTTTGTTTTTTCAGGATAAAAAACCTTCTGAACATTAGTGTGTTAATTTTTTCTATCTTTTAAAATGCATATATTAACATTATATTACCTAAACTTAAATATCTCCCTTTCTTTGGGTTTTCAGTTAGCTGCAATTTTAACATCTATCTTGATTCAAAATAAGCACATTTTTACACAAAACTGATACAAAAATGTATAATAACCATATTAATTTCTAAGATTGATGCTACTCACATGCTACTTGTTAAGGTCATGTGATAAAGCATAGTATTGTTTGAAATGGTTAATGCTACATAATGTTTCGCTTACTATTTAAAAAAAAATACATAGTACACAGTACACAGTGTATACTGTGCAGTATAGAATAAGTAATTATATAGTATTACATTACAAACCCAGACACCTTCTCTTACCCTAGTCCTCTGATCATGAGTTCCTCCTCCTCTTTGCCCATCCTGGCTGTGAGCAATGAACGAATGCGTGCTAGAGCCCACTGTAGATTAAGAGTGTCTTCCACAGATGTCTGGCTGATACAGTAAGCCTTCTGTAGTGGTGCAGACATCTGGCCTCCCAGCCCAGCATACTGTTGATGCAGCAGGCTGAAAACAGCACGCACCAGAGCTGGGTCTTCTATCGTCCCCTCCTGGGCCCAGTGAAGCATGGTCTCTAATATCAGCTGCTGTAGTGAGACTAGAAAGGGAGAGGTCTGTTTTAACTTCACTCATCTGGTGTGTAATTGAAAGACCCTGTACAGTTTTACCAGTAACAGAATCAAGATGCTGTATTAATACAGTTCATAACATAACAATGTGATCCCAAAATAATGAAAAAGATCATTTTCGAGAGCCAAAAGTGACTGGTAGTGTTTCCTACCAGGTTTGTTCACAATCTCTTCAGGCAGACCAGACATTCTCCTCTTTAAATTAATTATTTTATCCACTAGGCTTTGGAGGTGATTCCTGACTGACTGGTTGTCCTCATCCTCATTCTCTGAATCACTGTCTATCTCAATTCCTGTATTAAACAAAGTAAAAAAGATGTGAATAAATGCATACAAGAGGTCATGAGGCCAGTTAATGGAAATACAAATAGGCTATAGCATTCGTTGTCCTAATTGGCTGCCTACCACAGTGGCTCATTAGATCCTGATGGAATTCCCACATCAAATCTTGGACGTCCTCTGGACAAGGACATTCTTGACACTCTTCCCGGAAGCTCAACATCATGTTTATCTGGACAGAGAAAAAATAAGGACTCATTAGGGAAAGTTCAATCTGCATGAAATGAAAATTCATCTTCTTTTCTAAAATTATGTTGTTGATCATAATGTGAATGATTAATTTCCTTTCAATTTTTTTTAACCTCGTATTTAATCCAAATGCCATAACTCAATGTTCTGGTGAAACAACAGATTTGCCTCTGGGATAAGTATGCCAGACATCTCCAATTATTTTGTCTGCATAAAACCTGCTCCTTTCTTATAATTGACTGCAAGCTCACATTCAGATACACCTCCATCCAATCAACAACCAATGGACTGAACAACAGATTTCACTCAGATGTGCGTCACAATATGGAGGAAAAGATCTGACTGTTGCTATTTCCATTACATCATGTCTTTAAATGGATAATTCATTTAAAAAATATCAAAAAATTCAACATTTATTCACCCTAATGATGTTCCAGACCTTTCTGACTTTCAGTGAAACACAACAGAAAATATTTCGAAAACTGTTTCAGTGGTTCTAAAACAACATTAAACCCTACTGAATTTCATATTTTTCCAAAATATTCACTTTTGCGTTCCACAGAAGAAAGAATGTCATACAGCAGGGATGTCCAAATCTGTTCCTTGATGGCCACTGTCCTGCAGAGTTTAGCTCCACCCCTAATTAGGCATACCTGAATCAGCTAATCAAATCTACAGATTCATTAGTAACTTCTAGGCAAGTGTGTTGGAGCTAAACTCTGCAGGATGTGTGCCCTCCAGAAGCAGGACTGGACACGCCTGTCACACAGATTTGGAATGAGGCAAGTAAATAATGACTGAAATACACAGTCCAATCCAGTTAACCTATGACCTCTGACCTGTTCCTGAGGCGGGGAACGGAACTCTTTAGTTTTGCATGCCGTGAGAGCAGCAGACATGTTGAGCGCATCCATAACTTCATTGTATCGAAAGCGTTGGTTGTCTTGAAGACGACCTACGAAGTCACCTGAGAACGACATCACGGCTTCTACTCTATGACGTACCTGGCAGTCACACAGGTACTTCAAAAGGTGGCACACCTGATATTGAGAAATTGTGAGAAAGGGAGACATTATAAGAGAGAGAGAATCCGGTCAAAAAGGGGCAACAGTGTTGAATGACATAAGAATGAGTAGATAAATGACAAAATCTTCATTTTTGGGTGACCTATGCCTTTAAATGAACTGTGCCAACCTGTAATTTGACAGCTTCTGGAAGCTTCATCTGAAGAAGATTTTGCTGAGGGACATTATCCTCCCAATCTCTACCCTCCTTTTCCTCTCTTTCTCCATCACTTTCTTCCAGTTCATCCATCTCTTCTGTTTTACATGTTCCTCTCATGTAACTGGCTGGCAGGATGAGACTAAACACGGCCTCCAGATCTGTCCCCTGGTACACACCCATCAGCAGGAGAGTGTGAAGTAAACTGAGCAAAGGAACCATAAGGAGCTCTATGCTTCCCCCTGCAGGATCCCTCACACCCTGCCCTACTGCTGCCACTGCCTTCTTCAGCATTGTTATGACAACATCCTTTAATACATCCAATGGGATCTCTGGGCTGTTTTGTCGCAAGTTACTCCACAAAGCCCCGCCCTCATCTCTATCCATCACGTCTATTCTATTAGCTCTGATGAAGCAAGGTGACGTAAAACGCATTCTGGGCCATAAGGAAGTGCTGAAGTCACTTCCTGGGAATCTCTGCACCTTCCTATTGTTTTTGTAGAGCATAGTAGACTGCGTGGCATCCGTCATAGGCACAATGTATTCGTGGGTCATGGCCTGCCTGGCACTGGCGTGGGCACCGAGGTGGGTGTTGATGAGGAAGTTGTAGTAACTTGTCCGCAGGTGACCTGGCATTCTAGAGCACTGCAAGGCAAACAAGAGTTGTGATTGGTCCACATGGCTGCAGAGGGCGTGGCTTACATGTGTGTTTCCATGAGCTGAAAGGGCTGAGTAGAGGTGAAGGGTGTGATCATGGAACTTCAGGAGATCATGCAGTTCGGACAGTTCCAGAATGTCAACACACCTGAAAGAGGGAAAAGAGGATAATCATGGAAATAAAAAAATTGTATTAGAATTTTGTTGTTGTTTTTTCATTAAACATTTTTATAGATTTGTATTTTTAAACAGCAGTTTTGGGGGGCTGGGGGGATAGTTTTAAATATTCAGACAACAAAAATTAATTCAGAAATTCAGAAGTTATCGGAAGGTTATCGGAATAAAAAAAAATATGTTATCTTAAAAATACAAGTATATTAAATACAACAAAAAACAATTAAAGTTTACTAATGTCATGTTTAAAATTTAAATGTACCAAATTCAAATTGAAAACTTTAAAATACACCACCCAAAAAAAATCAATTTTGTTAATTGTCACATTTAAAAAACAAATTCTAGCTCCATAGATAAAAATGGCAAAAATGTTGAAGTGTGTAAAATGTTTTATAGATTTTAATCAAATTTTATTTACATTATACAAATATTACTGTATAATTTTAATGTTTTGTATTTTTACACTGCAAGTTTTTTATGGGAAAATTAGCTGTAAATATTCAGATTAAAAATTACATTCTGAACTATAAAAATATGCCACAAAACTATAACATATGCCACAATGTTATTAAATGTTATATGTCAAAGTCGTAATATTTTTTGGTTATTTTTGTAGCTCCATAGATAAAAATGGCAAACATGTTAGCAGTTACTTGACATCTTCATCATGACCTCTGACCTGTTCTCCTCAGGTATATGCAGGGTCATGATCTGACGGATCTGAGTGCAGCGAGCTCTCCAGCCATATCTCTCCTCCAGACGGGTCACTTCCACAGGCTGAGTGTGGTCAGGTACTCGGGTCCACCGCATAAGCGTTAGGTGTTGAACACACAATCTAGGAGGGCACTGAGGTTTTGCATTTCTTCTTTCACTCCGAAAAACTCCCGCTGATAGTGGCATCACATTCTGTGGGCAACAATACAAATCCCTAACCTGCAGCAAATATTATAGGGAAAACTATATAGAAATAAGGTAATTTGATGTTTTCTTTCTTATGTGCAGAAATGCTTTTTTGTAGAAGCTTATAACAGTGTTTATGTAAAGGTAATAATACAGTATAAGTTACATAACGATATATAATATAATCTGTACTCTTGTTCTGATCCAAGCCAGAAATTAATGTGTTGCAACCCATTTTAAGAAGACTGATACTGCATTCAATATTTTATTTATTAACGCCAAAGGAGACTTTGCTGGCAACTAAATATATTATTTGCAAGCTTGCAAGGACGCCCACTGGGCTGAAAGATGCACTTTTTCAGAGATTTATTTGGTCTTCCACAGGCTGTAATGATGTCTGGCCATGGAGAACAGAACTCATGAATTGGTTTACCTTGATACGTCCCAATTCAAACTGGAAGACATTAGAACTTGTGGCTTTAGCAAATACAGCAGGGAAGAGCTTGGTTCCTGGATCCACCTACAAATGGAGAGACATGGCTGAGGTAAAACTAAAATAACAGACTAAATAAGGAGAATGTAAAGTGTCTACAAAGTGCTTTGCTTTTTGTGTAACGCTAAAATCACAACTACAAAGTCAAGGCATGCTTGAAATTATAGTAATTTCTATAGTAATTTTTTCTAAATATAAGCATTATTTTATGGGACAGTATACATCCCAAGATCATTAGGAAACACTAATGCATAACCTATATGATAAAAGGTATGATATGCAAAGCTAAATATTTGAATGAGAATGTTAACACTGCTAACTGATGTTCACCTGGTAGTATGTTGCAAGTTCTTTGCCATTAGCAGTGAATGTCAGGAGCCCTGTTGCAGTGTCAACCAGACATCCAATCTCCAGGCCACTGCTGTTGCGGCTATGGGACAAACTACTGCCCTCTGCTGCACACACCATGTAACAGCTGCTACGCTTGACACTAACAAATGAATGAACACACACTAGTATTATTATTAATTAATATACTATTATAGTATTTATTAGTTTTAGTTCACAATAACAACACTGAAACACACACAATGTAAAATAATTATTATGTATTTTCAGACATCATAACAAAATGACAAAAAAACATAGCTAGTTTTCTTTGTTTAAACATCCAGCATCTCTTAAAGGCCCTATGATTCTTACCTCTTTTGAACTTTGCCCCATTCATCCCCAAGAGTGACTGTGACAGTACAAATGCTGTCCAGGTCAAAGGGCAAATCATGATGGTGGAACTTAGAGGTTACCCACCCAACCCAAACATAAAACGGCTCCTGACTGTAGGGGATTCTCACAGAGTAATAATACTGCAGTGAGAAAAACAGAAGAGAGATGCGATTATGTTAAACCCAGTCAAACCAAAACTGCTTGTTTCAAAGCTCCCATTAAGTGATCCAGTAACAAATGGATGAATAAGAAAAGGATTATTGACTACCGTAGTGCAATGAACAAGGCGGTTGTTTTCATCTTTCTCGATGGCCATCACTTCCTCCAACAAACGTGCTGATGAGTGGGTGGTGTTTAACTCTGGTTTCTTCTTCAGCAGAAACCTACAGCCACCAGTTGATATAGGTATGTCATAAAGACAGTTTCAGTCAATACAACAGTTACTAATGTTAGTCCAATTGTGCTTGGTGTTGGTGTGAACAAGAAGTGTGAACTGAACTCACCGCTGTTTGAGTCTAGATGGCTTTTCCTGACTGTGGTCTTTGTGATTATTGAGTTCATCTCTGGATCCTGCGTATCTGTGAGCTTTCATCAGTACCTCAAAGTCAGAATTTGCATCTCCCTCCTCTGGATCTCTGAGGTGGCACACCACACTGCTGCTGGGGGGCACAGTGACCTCACCGGGGCTGGAGAAAACCTGTGCACACTCTATTGGCATGCTCAGACGGTAAAATCCAACATCGCTTGTGCCCCTTTCCTGCTGCCCAAAAGACTTCTGTGTTACTTTCAGACATGGAGTGTTGTCAACTGTTCCATCAACACGAATCACCTGGGAAGAAATTTGAAATTATAGAACATCGCATTTGACATTATTTTAAATGTTGATTTAAAATAATAGAATCTAAGATGTTTAGTAACAATGTAGTAGTCTTGCCTTAAATAGATGACATA